AAGGAAATGATATACTGTCGGGCACCAAAATCTGGGCAGCCAACTCATCCTGCAGGCAACACATTACACTACTCTAAAGAATTAAAGGAACAAGAGAACAGAATGTTTTTGTCACGGTCTATAATCAATCAGAACAAGAGGCATTAAAGTTATGTGAAAATCATTCATTGATTTTAACATAACTCGAATGCCTCTTGTTCTAATGGTAGCCCATATAGACCACGACAAAAACATTCTGTTCTCTTGTTCCTTTAATTCTTTTGAGTAGTGCATATCAATATCCATTTTTTGAGGCACCCACAAATGCCCAGAAATATAGCTCCAAGCACCATTTGACTCAGAGCATCTATTCTATACGAATTCTTTGAGCACCCACAAAGGCTCGAAGTGCCATACTTCCAAGCACCATTTGACTTGGAATGCCTTGTTTATCATTATTCACTGTTTGGGCTTCCAATATGGCCAAAGAGCATCAACAGCTCCAAGCACCCAACTCTGTGACTTTTCAAAGAAATACCTACTCCATCAAAAACCGACTACTTCAACATATTTCACGTTTATACCTAAAAGATTCTGCTTAGTATTTTTTTGTACAACATGGGCAATTTCCGTGCACTTTTGCATATCCTTTTTTTATTCTGGGTATCGCTTTTTACAGACGCACGACTATAATTAAACCATCAGCAGAGCTTGTAACGTGCATTTTCATCACGAGAGAAGGTTTTTTTTTACAGTGCCTTCTTGACAATTAATGTTACTCATTGCATTATCATCCCTCATCAATGACTTAGACCTCAAACATACAGCATTGCCACTTATCAAAATTGTTGACAAAGGTAGAAAAATATACAAGTAGTGACGAAAGCGTCCTTTAATTATAGTAATTTTGGGTGTGGTCGCAGGATTTAGAGAGATGGAGGGGTGTTACATGGAACGATATACTTGTTGAGGATTCCAAACTCTGTAACGTTGTAATAAGGATCAAATCATCAGCTGTAGGATCTTTCTAGCCAAGTCCACACTTCATGTGAATCGTAGAGTACAGCAAATATGGACAGGGCAATGGTGAATGGCATGGTGAAAAACTGCAAATGTTGACATCAAGGAACTCGTTTAAATTCCATTTTCTGCACTGTTTGTACTGACACATATGAACATTTTACATGTGTGAACTGACATTTGTCTGCTGACGACAGGACTGCTCTTGTAGTGAACGTTTGGGGGGATAAAATTAATTTCAGAAACTTGCAGAGAAATTTCTGGAAGTCTGTCGTTCAATTAAAGGAAAATGTGACTCAACAATAAACTATGAACACGTTTTCTTTCCCAAACAAGACTGATATGTCTATAAAAACATCTTACTTTGGGTTGACTGAAACTCAATTGTATACGTTGTTGTGCCACTGCTGGCTGCCATGGTTACACTGACTGCATCCGGACTGACGAGGCTATTCAGTGCCGTCTCCATTTCGTCTGCAGACGATGACATACTCAGGTCACCTTTGAGGAAAGTGTGGAAAATTTACATCAAACTCAGACAGGGAAAATGTGTCATTTCTGTGACATTTGTACATACCACTAGCCCTGAGTTGAAGTGTACCCTCACCAGCAATGAAGAGACAGGTTGGTAGGAAGTTTTTTTCAACTGGGCCAGTGCAATGTACCAAATGCACGCGCAAAGGCTGTACATTGACACCAAAATTGACCACGCTTGCTCAGCACGTCCTGCGCCAAACGTGTATGACATGTGTGCATACTTCCTGACAAACGACCATTATTGCCATGGTTCCGAACAGATGCAGAATGGATTAAGTTACAAATATTAACCTCTGTTGAACAGTTTTAAATTGAGGACAATTTTTTGGATCATGTGCAACGAGGCCATCATCTCGTATCTGTGCAGAAGTAACATCAAATCAAGTGTTGTGCATACCTGTGACTAGTTGGCCAAACTTCAGTTTGTAACTGCAATTGGCTGTGGAGCATGATGAGGTCTTCACAACCACCTCCTGCTTCTCGTACGTAGCGCCCTCTACTGTCACCGTCTGAAGCGCAGTCAAAAACATCCCTTTCATGTATTTTTCAGATTGTTACGTTCATATGGAACAGAACTTTATGTGCAAAATTCAGCTTGTTGACAGATCATGTACCTAATTTCCAGGTTGCCTTTTGGCCCTGAAAATCTGCTTGAATACCTGCTTGTAATTTGTCAGTTAATTATTTTGGTACTCCTGCACAATAATTCTTACGACTGCAATTCCCTAATAAATGAAATCATTACTTCTCTAAAACCCACCAGAGTTACTTGGAACATTTCTTACCAACTGAATTGGAACTAAAACTGTCATTACGAGTTGCTTCCCCTACATATCAACTGTACACATTCCAACACACTGACAAATGTTGGTATTTTCTTCCCTGATAAATAACTTCAAATGGCAAAAAGACATGAAATTTAAAAGCTGTGCTACGAAGTAATAAGGAAACCGTGTGAAATTGGTGTAAATTCGGACCGACATTTGGCACTAAGGCTGACTAACCAAAATTCAAATTTACCTGTTGCTCCAGTGCCAAAACTGATGAAGTTTTAATCTTCTGAACCTCATTCATAGCAAAGGGAGTGTCGGCCCTAACCATGGGCACATCAAAGAACACAGCTCCAATTTGGAGATAATCTCGTCCGGCGCGCTCCCTGTACACTGCTTCCAAGTAGTAGCTAAGATTTGGTTCAGGTGAAAGCAGACACCAGTGTGATGGTATATGGCTACAAACTAGTCTTTTTCAGTTTGGGAGCAGGTTTACATATTTACGACGCTCGGAATATTTCACAACTGTCTCATATTTATGGTGTCCTTAACAGGAATTAACATCAGGGAAGAAACTATATGATTGCTTCTCAAACAATGACCTTGATGTTTGAGTTTTAACCACTTCATACCAGAGAGTAAACACACAGGAATTCCTGTCTCGTAACATGGAAGACATTTAGACGTTGAGTTGGAAGAGGGAAAAACTGAAGTGGCTGTAACCTAACCAAGTCTTAATGGACTGAACCGAATTTGATACCCTGAGTGTTTATGAATACTTTATGCAAATATACCTTAAGTAGTCGTAGAAACCAACTATAGGGGCAATAAAAGCCAATCATATGTGTACATATATACGATTCTCCTAATTTGGTGCACTTTGAGAATTTCTAAAGCATTTTGTCACCGAGCATCATCAAGCTTAAAACTCATTACCTTATTAAAAATAATCTGAGTCTAATGTCTTAAAATGAATAGTGTTTGAGTGTAGTAAAATTAAGTTTTAAAAGCACAAGATAGCCAATTTTTTTTCATTTATTCTGCTTTCACCAGCAATATAAATGTTGACGCTACCCACCTCTGATTGGCTGTCAGTAGGATTTTCTCAGAGGTTTGTTTTGCATTTGCATACCAGTTGCCAATATTTCTGTCCAGAAAAGCTATTTGGCTCTGAAGGGGAAAACACAATTGTTGAGGCTGTTGAAACAAATCTTTTCAAAAGAAAAAAGTACAGAACGATTTTCAGTTTCAGCATCCCAGTTCTTCTTTCAATTTGTCCCATGGAGAAAATAACTTGTATGCCAACCATTCAACAATGCAAATGGAAAAAGCTCTACTTTTTGTACCATTTGTGCATGAGGAGCAGCAGTTTGGATGTTTCCAACATGTCCTTTTCAGCTGAATTCAAAACACATGGATGTGCAGTTGATTTTCTTACGTCTGTTATGAAACAGAATTTTCATTCAATTTGGGTCCATTACAAATTTGGCCACGAAGGCTCTAATAAGATGATACCACTGTATTGCAATACATCCTTGGATGATGTTCGAAGTATTTCCCAAGTCTGAAGGGAATGGGGACTGCTTAAAGGCCAAAAGCCATGTGCAGAATGAAAAGCTGTGTTATTCATAGTATTTGAAGTGGAAAAAAAGAAAAAAAGAAAGAACAAGAAAAATCTCATGAAAACAAGAGCTGTTTCAACTAGTGCCTGAAACAGCTAAATATTTATGTCTCCGTACAGAATATAGGGTGTCGATCAAAACACAACAAAGTAGCACCTGACAACTCCGCCTCCCTGAAATCAGACAAGATTGCAGTAGGCAAGAATTTGATTTAATAGCAACCATAAGTCATTAAATTTTAAGCTTGACAGTTGGACTCATTTTAACAAATAACCGTGAATTCTTTTTCAAATGGTACAATGGTAACCCAATGCCCCCTGCACAACTGATGTTATTGTTCCAATCTAACCTGGGGGATATGACTGTGTGTTTCTCCTATTTGCCATTATAAAGCTTTGGAGGCTCACCTACGAGAAATACTGTGCATTCTGCCATGGTCTTTGCCTTTGAGACAATGGCAGAAGTGGGACAGGGTATGTTGGTCAGTGATGAGGGCAGCATTTTGATTACTATGAAGAGATGCAATGACTGCGATGCCCACCACACCCAAAGACCCATTCTTGAGTTTGACACATGCCTGCTGTTAGCAGGTCACAGCAGGTCAGGTTACCGAATTTCGTTGTGTCACGGCAGTAATGTCTCCTAACTCACTATACCTTGTTCTTTGGGTCACCGGTCAGGCTGAAGTATAACTTAGCATCGTCGTCAGCAATGATTTTGAACTGGTAGTCACCGGTGCGAGGCGGAACAAAGAATCCCCGCAGCCGACCCATGAAGTAGTCCACCCCTAATTGATGATCTTCGGGGGAACTTGCCTCCAGAACATGCACGGAATGGTAGTCTGAGGCACTGGTATCCCAATCAAATTGATTCAACCTTTTTAAGGAAAAGAAAAAAATGTTTTAAGTTACCGAGTACTTGATCCACCCCAAACACAAGCATCTCATGACAAGTGACTGGGTGTTCCGAGGACATACTTCTCTAAGCAGCTTGGAAAGCTGAGCGTTTCTGAAGAAATGGTGAGTCTGATTTTCATAAAATTGGTGTCAAATGGTTGTAAGACACTATTAAAAACTCTTGACAATTTATTTATTTATATTAAAAATTCTTGACAAAAATAATGCAAGTAACACTATTTCAGAAAATGTGTGACAGTGGGCGAATAGGGCCCACCCAAGGCATTAGAAAGTGTGAGCAGATTTTCTCAACTACTTTTGAATGAATCTGGTTTTTCAAACTTTTTTGAACCGTGCGTGAGAGATTCAGCAGGCTTTACCAATGACGGTTCTATGACTGTGGAATTTTTGCTGAACACACCTGCTGGCATAAATTACAGTAAGCACGGCAAACAGTGGAACTTTCCTCTACGTCCCCCTTTGTGACCCAGGTCAAAAATCCTGCCCAGGCCGATATGTGAACTGGGTTTCAGTCCCTTTTTCAGTCCCCAGTTTTCCTGAAATATCATTCTGGGATTTCCTCCCACCTCTTAAATCTTTTTCTTTGTCCTCTCTCTACCTCTAGGTTAAATTTCCTCAGCCCTTGGTTTCTTAACCAAAAAAATTACAGAAAATTATTTAACTAATTTAAAGAATCTAATAAGTAAAATCACTCAACAAGCCAGTTCAGTATTCCAACAGCGCATGGACAACAACCAATTTTTAGCATTTGTAATCACAGAATGTAACAAAATTAGCCTTAAGTTTTACGCAGAAATCAATGTCACAGGACGAAATAAGGACGTCACAATCATTACTTTTCAATAATGTGAATGCATAGTCAGTAAGGATGGCATCCCTATACAGAAACCACTCATGCACATCATTTTGACAAAACAGGTGTTCACTTTGTCATTGGTTGTTTAAAATGTTGTCCATTCATAGGTCATTTTTGCCTGATGGAGAGTGCTTTTGAGTGTGACTTTTGATTCAGTAACCAAGTTGCTGTGCATGTCAATTTCTTCTTTGTTATAAAGGTAATCACTTGCTTTTGGGCATGCGATTAGTAAGGGGTATTGCAGCATACCTGTGTACAAAAATTGTTTATTTCTATGGAGTGAATTTCTATGTGTGGCCTTTGACAGAAGTGGCAAGTTTCTTTTGCTGTCCAGTGTATGTGTGGAGAAATTGTTTTCTTCCAGGAGGACTGCGCTGACTCACGCGCACAGAATAAATTTGGGCTGGCATGACATCAGGCATGAGTTCCCCTCTGCATGACTTTACCTCGAAATACCGAACTGGCTTAGGGATGATCACCTCAGGATGGGAACTCAAAGAATGTACATAAAGTCAGCTTACGACTGGAATGTCTGGTTCCAGACTTCAAACAGCATTCCTCGGTCCCCCGGGTAAACACTCTGGGCTGGTGGTGCCTGGCCGGTGATGCATTCTATCTCGGTTGCAGTTCTGTTTGATATCTCACAAGGAACCCCTGTGCAGCATAAAAGGAAAAACAACCCGACACTCAGCATAAAAGCTACAAAACTGATCAGGTTTACTGTAACACACACTTTTATTTCAAGCCAACCAGAATCAGCAATGTCTCAGGTTTCCTTTTAACTTTGATTTTGCTTCTAAACAAGTTTCTCCTAAAGCTATTACAGCTCAATTTCTTGAAGGGAATGAGCCTTTGAAGTTCTACACACCAGTTTCTTTGTATCAAGCCTACTTTGTATGTGACACAGTAACCAGAAATGAGATTGACCAATGATAAAAATAGCTGAAAACAGCTCAAAAACGACAAAAAAAGCTGACCTGTGAAAATCTATAATTTTGTACACAGCCAAAGAGGAAAAAAAGCTGAAATCCAAAACCACAAAGCTGAAATCAGCTGAAAAGCTGAGAAATCTCACCCCTGATGAGTAACTTGTGTATGCAGAGCTTAATGTTTAAGTGATTCTTAATGGTGTTGTACACATATTTCCAGTTCAGAATAAAAAAAATTGCTTCCTGTTACATGAAATATGAAAACAGGGTAGGTAGGTGGGACTTGTTTCACCTTTTTCTACTGATTCATTGAGCAGCTTAGTGTTAACAGGTAACACCAGAAAGAAAAAGGGAAAAAGTTGGGTGGCATTTGTTTCTAAAATGAAATGAGCAACCTTATTTTAGGTGTGTATTAGTCACTTGATCCTTTTTACCACATTCCAACTATACTCATTATTTCAAATTCCACATTTCCCCCAAATTTTCCAAAAGAAAACTTCAGAGATACACAGTCACAGGATAAGGAATTGGGGAGGATAAACATATTTTAGGGTCTAATTGTGCAAAAGAGCATGAGGTACATCAGTGATTTCACTGCAATGTTTGCCCTCATACAATACAAATCTGCATCGCTCCTAAGTTTCTGAACTGTATGAAAAGGACTTGGAATCAATTCTTAACGCAACATCACCAGCAGCAGCCTGGAAAGTGCAAACAACTCTAAGGACAGAATTTGGAGTGGACAGAACAAAAGTTTGTTTTGTGGCAAGAGACGTTCTCTTCCATATTCCCACTTACCACCAACCAGCACGGATGCAGCATATCCATCAAAGTACTTCCCTGTAATAGTGAGAGCGGTTCCCCCCTCTGTGCTACCAACTTTTGGTTCAACATTCAGAATATCTGATTAAAAGCAAAGGAGACAGGGCAGGGTAGAAATATTAGAGATAATTGATGAAATATGGTTGCTTGTTGTCTTATTGCTGTGTACTTGCACAATATATAACCAAACAAAAGGAAATTTAGGACAGTAACATGTTTAAAGCTCCAGCAGTTCTTTGTGGACTGATCAAGGCAACATTGAGGTTTTCCCCCGCTTGGATCATGAAAATGGAAGCACACAGAAGCCTAAAACTCAAAAGGTATAAAGTAATGAAAACAGCAATTTAAAGTTGAAAATAACCTTTAAACAAGCGGGGGCACTTTCAAGGGATGTTGTGAAAAAAAACTGCCCTACTACATTCAACTCTCATCCTTTGAGAGAAAGAACAAGAAACACACTCACCGGCGTGGGTTTGGAAGAGGTAGAATTTATTCCTGGCGCTCACACGGAGGATGTTGGATCTACTTAAGGAACGGCCGTAATTATCTGACACCAGGTAGGACAAGGTCTGGGAGGCTAAACAAAGAATAAGAGACGAAAAATGAGGTTTTATTTAGTGTTTGGAGGAATTCAGTGTGACACAATCTGTCTTGGAGAAAAAAAATTTGGGCTCTTGGTAGAATCAGAGATTAAGAGTTTCAACTGGCCATCCCTTTGCTAAGCAAGGCCTTCAGTCTTTCATGGGGATTGATTGAGAATAGGGCTCTTAAAGTAAAGTGCCATAACATCTTGTAAAGCGCTCAAGTTTTAAAAAAATTTTTTTCATTTTAAACCATCACGTTGTTCTTGTTTGTTGACACCTGTACAGCTTTTCCCACCCCTCTGCCAAAGTTTAACTCTTCATACTCTTCTTTGGAATGTAATGGGATGAGTGTGCTGAAGTTGAGTAATCTTGTAGTACTCAGTTTACAACCAATTACCATGGTAACCAGTAAAACTCACTAGCACTCAGTTGTATGCTTTGTAACTTCTTCTGTTCTAAATTTACACAGTTCTGTTGATCATCTGAACTGTTCATTTTTTAAAAAACTTTGCTTACCAAGCAAGCTTCTTACTAATTGGTACGCTTGTTTGCTTTAAAGTACTCAGCCATGAGTATACGACTCCGGTAGAAATGGTCTCAATATTTCAACAGTGAAGGCAGATTTGTGTAATATTGTTTTCCCACACTCACCAACAAATGTTCCTTTAGGAGCACATTCAATGACACCTTTGATGCTGTTTGGATTGTCTAGGGCTACTTTATACCTAGGATAAAATATCATCAAAACAAATGATAAGAACTGAGAAAAAAATCTGTGCCCGACTATCACTAGTCCTGGTTAGAAAGTAAGCAGGAAAACTGAGAAGTGTATCAAACCTGAACGTTTCTTCTGAGACAAGTGGAACTGTTGACGGAGAATACATTATTTTGTCACTGTGTGGCTACAGAACGGCATTGGAATCTTTGATATGCTCAAAAAGTAAGCTAACTAATGCGGTAGGAATCAATGAACTTTAGGTATCGCAGCCATGTTGACTGAGTAATAGTAGAACACCAATGGTAATATACATTATCTTCACATATGTGCATGCGAAGATGTAAAAAAAAATCCAGCATTTTTAATTAGTCCTACACAGATATTTTCATCATACATTTCCTTCCATTTCTTAGCTTTCTTCCACTGCCAAAGGTCAAAATGACTGCGATGGGTTCATTTTTCAGGCTCCATTCTTGCTTGGAACACAACTCTACTAAAGATACGATGAATCATATCATTTTTCACCGTTTTCATGAAGAGACATATGTAGATTTTGAAGAAAAAATGGTTTTCGAAAAAGTTGCCCGAGAAGTAATACCAATTTGCAACATCTTTATGCAGTAATAACCCAGGTAAACTTGTGAGCACAGTAATTCGAATGAATAATATGGTTAAATTAATTAGTAATGAGGCACATCAATTCATGAAAACGAAAAAAAACAACATATTTTCAAACTTGATGTCCTTCTGTTCAATGCATTTGTTTCCGTACGGAAGCCCTGGGGGCATGCATGTTTTACATGCAGCTACGGATGTGAAAAAACATGTGTGCCTCTTTTTGAAAACGAAAATCTAAATTAGCTTACTTTTCAGCCTTTCTAGGCAATACAGTTTGTACTGGGCAGTCAGATTTTTGTCTCAATGTGAAAATGCAAAATGCAGTTATCAAGATTTCTACCCCGGCAACATTAATATAATTTTGAAATTTTTGATGCTTTGCTTGTAGGAGCATATTAAAATAATTCACTACCATTATTTAAAATAAAATAGTAATAACAAAATAGTAAAAACATTAAAAATCAGAGAAAATTTCATTATTAAGATTTCTACCTCTTTGTGAATTTGGTGATGAATCCCATACTGCCACTGAGAACATCTCAGCGTTTAGGGTATAGGCCTACTACAGATAACTACCTATTGCCAAATATAGTTTAATGGTCGGAACTTACAGTTCGCCAGTCTCTGGATCAAATGGTTCGCATAAATAATTTCCCCAGTAAACCCTGTAATGAAAAACATACAATTCACTGCAAGTTAACTTTGACAAGGCCACCTCAATGGAATATTGTAACAGTCCACAGAAGAACTGTGAAAAGTGACCTTATTTCGACTCCTTTTTTCTTTCAATCAGAATGTGATGGACTTATTGAGGTATTGTCCTTATAGCTAGAATGATCTTGGCCTCTTTGAAAGATAACTCCAGAAGTTTTAGAATTTCGGGTGCAACTCAAACTGGCAAGGGTTTTCACCGATAAAATGGTGTGCAGTGCTACACAGGTTCACACAGTTACATTAACAAAATGGAACTGGGTACATGTATATCCGTGGATATTAACTTAAAAATAAATGTTGGAAGTAACATTAAATAATTTTCACTTGCACAAATTATCAGTCCAGATCTCATTTACTTTATCTCTCTGTACAAAGGCACAGGGTCTCACCTCAACTTGGTTTTGCTTCACTGCAATTACACAACAAAATTCTGACATTTAAATTTTACAGTGCCAATTGTACGGAAATTTAGACTTGGATAGTGTCTACGTTGTTGCATCAATCTGCACCACTGGAAACAGGAAGTCAGTTATGAATTAACTTGATTTCCATTAAAAATCCTTGGAGGTAAAAATCTATGAAAGAGAAAAACATCCATGGCGAGGGAACATTGCATGGGGCCCTGCAATATATGAATGAAAAACTAAAGAGAAAGGCCAAAAAAAGGAAAAACTTCACAGAGGTCAGGAGATTCAAACATGGGTCCATGTACATATACAGTGTATGTCTGAAGCAAGAGTGCGTCGTAATTGAGCTACTGACACACCTTATTTAATTATAAAGTTGTCAGGATGATATCACTGAGTCTTGATTCTTCTCCCTAATTGGTCAATTGGTGGCTATTCCATATTCCACACTCGAAACTTAACAGGGCAAAATAGTGTTGTGGTCTATGGGGACATCAAATATGGCCAAAATTTCACTGTTCAAGTTGCACTGTGAATATCTCCCAAACTAGCCATAAACCGAAAAAGTTTCTGGTTTTTTTTATCATGGTGCGGCAAAAAAAAAACTGATGAGGAAAACATTCAAATCCCTGTAAAAATTATATGGAGGATTGCCCCTTTGTTATGCCGCGAGTGAAATGGAACAACCAACAACTGCGAGAATGTAGGGCTGGAGTTACCGGTCAAGCCTCGCCAACAGATGGATTTTTCGTCGTTCTTAAGTTCTCTTCTAAT